GAGTGGCCCTCTCTTCTGTGTCCTACAGTACTTTATCCCATCTCTTTTACAGCAAAGATGACTTTTGCATTTGCATGCGGTACCTGCCTTGGTGATAAGTTGTTAAGTGCCAGTGAATAAACGCATGTATGCATGAATGAAGGAGAAGAGCATTTTAGGAGGAATGGTGTTCAATCAGGTCAGCGGCTATGGTGAGATCATGGAGAAGAATGAAGGGAAAAGCGATGGGGTTTTGTAGTAAGGCAGGTGTTGGTGACCTTTGAAATGCTTGCTTCAGCAGAGTGATGGGCAGGAAGCCCAGATTGTTGGGAGTTAGGGACTTCCAACTTGATGAAGACTTGCACGTTTCCAGAGTTGCTTATTGACTGTTTATCTGAACGTGTGGTAGAAAAAGAAGTTCTTGGGAGAAATAACTAAGTGACCTTAGGCCAGTTACTGACCCTCACGGAACCTGTGATCTCCGAATAGGCAGTCATAGTAATACCTTGTGTTTTAAGTTTTTTTAAAGGATTAAACGAGATTATTGTAACCCTTTAGAGTGATGCCTAATATTTAGTTAGTACTTAAATGGTCATTTCCTTTATTCCCCTTCCCCATACAACAATAATTTTTATTTATTAATGTTGGTGATGGCATCCATCACCCTTTGCAAATTTGTATGAGATATGAATTGTTCAGGATACCCTCATTCCAGTCACTGGAGAAATTGTGAATTGCATTTAGCCTGGAACTAACATACCTTGTTGGACCACTGACGGCTCCTTTGAAATATATGTTATCTAGCTGGAAGGACACCCCAAAAAGGTAGTTGTCTTAGTTAAGGCTCTTTTAGGTACAAATTACAGAATCCTACCTCAAGCAGACATAGAGAGAAGGGGAGAGAGAGCTTTTGTTGTCTCGTGTAACTGAAAATTCTGGGAGGGTCCCACCCTCAGGCACTGCCATATCTGTATCTTCTGGATCAAACAACATTGTCAGTCCTTAGTCTTTCTCAGACCGTCCTGTGGCTCAGCTGTCTTCCATGTGACTCTCATTCCCAAGCATATTTGCCAGCTACAAATTTCAAGAAGAGGGAAGAACTCCCTAGTATTTCTAACTGAAAGCCTGGATTCAATATCACTCTTTAGACTTAGGTCACTTGCCCATTCTTTTCTGCTTTTTTTTTTTTTTTTTTTTTTGCGGTACGTGGGCGTCTCCCTGTTGTGGCCTCTCCCTCTGCGGAGCACAGGCTCCGGATGCGCAGGCTCAGCGGCCATGGCTCACGGGCCCAGCCACTCCGCGGCATATGGGATCTTCCCGGACCGGGGCACGAACCCGTGTCCCCTGCATCGGCAGGCGGACTCTCAACCACTGCGCCACCAGGGAAGCCCCACTTGCCCATTCTTAAACTGATTGTTTCGGCCAAGGAACTGGGAGGTACTGGTTTTCCAGGCCTGGCTTCAGGAATATTCTGTTCTATGAAATAAATGGTACTGAGTGTAGGAGAAAAGGGGTTCCCTGAAGGGAAATCCAGTTTCTGTTCCCAGAATGAAGGGGAGGCACGGCAGGCGAAACAATTGATATCATATTATTGTACAGACAAGTGCTTTTCAAATTATGCTTCTGGGAACTCTAGGGGTCCCACTGAGATGCTTACACAGGAGGAAGGGAAGAAGAGAGTAATGCGTGGTGGGAAGTTGTCAAATTCATGCTCACTCGAACTTTATTAAGAGTAGCTTCACTTTCATATATTTTTATACCCAATTTCTGGCTAAGATTTCATTTGAAAGTGGAATTTTGGCAATACCATTGAAATAGGACAATTTTAGCAGATGGTTAGGTCCATAGCTCCTAAAGGTAGATGACCATCATTTTCCCACTCCATCCTGCTGAACAAGTTCTTGCCCTACCTTTCCTTCGTTCCCATTCGCCCAACTCATATTACTGACCCACCTGAGATCCAGACTTGAATCCCCCAGTCAGACATAGGAAGAGCATGACATTAGGCAGAAGTCCAGTTCTCAGTTTACTGTTATTATGACAGTTTAAAAATTGTTACTTAACCCTTTGCCGACCAAGGAGACGTCCCCTCCCAAAGCTGTTGTCAACTTGGTGACGCAGTACAATCCAGCAGTTGTAAAGCAGAAAATTTGATTCATTCAAGAAATTTGACCGAGCATAATCTTTGATGATATGTTTATGCTGAAACTTGCAGTTGACATCTGCAAGCTGAGCAGTTTAATTTTTCAAGCCTTCCTCTGTGGCTCATCTCCTAGGTAACTGCTGCTTAAATCACACCCGTGGGACTTTTTCCTTATCAACTATTGACTTTCTTTAACTATTTGGCCCGCCCCTTCATTTTCCATATCAGAGCCCAAAATGTAGCTATTTGTGTAAATAAAGTTTTATTGGAACATAGACATGCCCATTAGTTTAATTTAAGTCTGCTCTGTTTTCCCTCTATAGTAGCAGAGGTGAGTAGCTGTGAAACATGGAGCATGGCCCATAAACCTAAAATGTTTACAGTCCAGACCTTTACAGAAAAAGTTGTTGACCTCCACTGTATATTTATGTGGCCTATTTATTTATGTGTCTTCCTACTTCTTGACATGTGGCATGCTAAAGAGTCAGTAATGTCCTTTTAATACTCTCACTCTCTGACGGTCTCACAAGCATATATAGGGAAATACTTTTGCTTTTACCTGTTCCACCTGTGCTCTTTCAATTCTCTGAACAACTTCTCTTTGTTTCTGTGCCCTCAACAGTTTAGTCCTCTTCATCTTCTAAAACTTCCAGCCCTTTTTAAGGAGTGAGAGGGAGAGGGGTGACAGCTTTCCGCCTGGCCCTAGGACACACTGATGCACACACCTGCATATACTTAATGCATAGATACAAGGTGCCGAACACATGGACAAAAATCAGGTTTGGTGTCATTTTATTTCCCCTCTACTCATCCCTCCCAGTTTCGTATTTGTTGTGCTCACAGCAGTATAATTTTGTGAAGAAGTGCTTGATATGGGCCAGGAAGGTTGATAAAGGGAAACGGAAGAGGAGATTTCCCTCGACCTGCATGCTGGATTTCTGTAAGCAGAGCAGCGACTCGTCAGAAGGCTGAGTAGTTAAGCTGTACTTGAAGAAAAACAGGGATAATAATACCTCTTTCCTGCATTTTTGCTGTCTAAATGCCCTGTGGAGTGAGAGAAGACTTCAGTCCCTGCACTTGCGAATCCCTTATCTTTCCCCAAACGTTAAATTAATTTTTAAAGCTATTTATTCAAAGTTGACTTAACCACTAGAATAGGAAAGATCAGACAAATCAGCTGCAAGAAATGAAGTACGAGGAAACCCGAACTCTTTGACAAAGTATTCCTGGGAGTAAATGTGTTGAATGAAGCCAGCGGGTAAATGATAAGGGCCTTTACACTGTGGATGTAAGAAGGCAATTTATCAAGAGTACATGAACTCTCCAGTGACCACAAGTCAGGAGGAAACGAGAGTGGAGGAGGAGCCCTAAAAAAATACACTTGAAATACTAAAAAGTGTGAGTGTGTGCTCGCGTGCACTTTTAAATACGCACATTAATATGCAGAAATACCGGTGTATTAAAAGAGGAGCTGCTCAGAGTGTACACATACGGTAGCCTGTGCTGTTGGGGGAGAAGGTATTAAGAATGGTTTCGAGCTTGCAGAAACCTTGGGTGCTTGCAGGTAGAGTTAGGATTTGAGCCTGGTGGTTGTTTGATACCCATTTGCCTGACTCATGACATTAGATGACCATCTTTCAGGCTCACGTGTTTATCTCTTTTAATCTTCAGAAGGTCCTGTGTACAATTCTGATAGTTGAGCTAATGCTTTTGTGTTCTCTTCAGGAGTTCAAAGCACCTCTCATTCATCTTTTCAGCATCTCTTTGAGCCCTGTAGGTGAGACAGCACTATCTTAGTGGGTCACTTTAGAGAAACTGAGGAAAAATGTGGTCACATTATCTGCAGTAGGGTTCCGGGTAACTCAGATAAGGATGGGGATGAGAATGTATGGCTTTATCTTGGCTTTCAGAGCTAGGGAGAAGAGATGTAATTTCTTAGATTTGAGGAGAAAAAAGCCTAATTGTTGAAATATTAGTTCCACTAAAAATATTTACTCTGAGAATGGTCATCCCCAGTTTTCTGCGCTGAAATGACGCAGCTGAGATACACAGAAATTCTTGTACTTTGATTGTAGTCACTTTTTTTTCCAGTTTCATCTCATACTGAGCCGTTGTCAGAGCTGTTAATAAAATACCTAATTATGACTTGAATTCCTTTTCTTGTTTGTTTGTTTCTCCTGTATAACTTTTAGAGAACACTGAACTAACAGCTAAACAGCAAGAGGGGAATTTAGGAGAATTAAGTCTTGGGATAATTCCCCTTAGCTAATTCAGCTTTGAGGTAAATGACTAGTCCCCCGACCCAGAGGTCAGCTTTCCTTATTCCCTCTGAGTTAGTCCTTTTTCCCCTGTAAGTCTAAAGAACACCTTTCTTTTCCTTTTCAAACCATCCAGGTATCATAAGGGGTGAATCTTACTCAGAAAAACGATGCTGGTTGAGCCCGCTCTTGTGGCTGAGTTGGCAGTTGTGTGCGTGTTCCTTCTTTTGGTGCAGGGAGGGGACTACCGTGGTAACTTGGGTTGAGCCATAGTTCAATTAGCAAATTAATTAGTCAGGTTTTTAGCGCCAGCCACAGTCATTTAGAAACCTCCTCAGTGGCTCTCTTCCTGAAAGCCAAATGTATTTTGTATTTGCTGTCGTCTGCAATTTATAAACACACGGAATCCAAAAAAACAAACAAACAAAACCGGGAGGAGGTGGGAAGAGCACTATTTACATTGCACAGTCCTGCTGAGACATCTGTGATTATGATCCAGCTATTAGACATGGAGCCCCCTGTAACTTCCGGTAACTCGTTTCTCCTTTCTTTGTCTCTGCCCTCTCCTTTTTATCTCTTTATTCCCACCTGCCCCTGGACCTCTGGCGGGACCACCGCAGCCTTGGATAAGCTCAGCACGCAGCACCTCTACCACCCCACCCAAGTGGAGATCGTGCAGTCCAACGTGGTGTTTGACATCAGCAGTCTGATGCTCTACGGGACGCAGGCGGTGCCTGTGAGGCTCAAGATCCTGCTGGACCGTCTCTTCAGCGTCCTGAAGCAGGAGGAGGTGCTGCACATCCTGCACGGCCTGGGCTGGACCCTGCGTGACTACGTCCGGGGGTACATCCTGCAGGTAGGGGGAGGACGTCAAGCCGGTGTCGGGGGCCAGCTGGAGAAGGGCTGGGGTAGGAGCCCTCGGCAAACCTGCCCTCCTTCCTGCCCCTCACAGGCCCGGGCATGCACACCCCATTCTGGTTAACGTGGTCCTTTTGGCAGGCTGCTCAGGGAATTGGAAGAAAGGAGCTGTGGGCCAGCAGGCCGGCATCCGGCCTCAGTGGTGAACGTTAGAAAGGAAGTAGTGGCCTGTTGCCTAGGGTTGCTCTGTTTGCATTCTTTTGAATTCAACTCCCTCTCTCTACAACGCGGGCCTCCTGGCTTCCCCAACAGGCCTTATCGAAGCCCTACTAAAAGGGAGGGTACGGAGGAGGGTGATGGGTGTGCGACAATCTGAAATTGCACTTCATCTGGGTGTCGTAGGGCTGGTTCTCACGCTTACTTGGTAGGTTTGGTATTTTCTTGGTTGTCTCTTCTCTGTACCCTAACCATTTATTGCTTCTTCATCCAAGTCAAAGGAACACCTCTGTAAACTCCCTGCTTTTGTAATCAGTAAACCCTCACATTCCAAAACATGCAAACCTGGTTGTAGATGTGGCCTTCACAGCACCTGTTCCTCCAGCTTGAGCCCCTTCTGTGTGTCAGGGGCACTTCCGGTCTGGTAAGAGTCTTGAGACTTTTCCGGAGGGCCTGCAGCCTCCACTCCCCATGCCCCCAGCCTCCTCGCCTTTTCCATCATTTTTTGCCGTATGTCATGAGTCGTTTTGCATTGTGTACTTTGCCTCTGAAATGTTTTTATGGCCATCTGTCTTCCCACGACCCTTGAAGGGTAAATGTTTGAAAGCAGCATGTTGGGAGACCCCAGGATCCAAAAAGACTACACTGGACGATGAAGAGATACTCCCTCCTGCCAAAGGAGATCACAGTTGGAGAAGGTAGAATCTGAAGTGATGTTTTGAAATTTCTTTTGGGGGATAATACCAGGAGAATTGACCCATTCCAAAACAAAAATTGGTTTTGGTTCTGCCAGCCTTGTTGATGGCCCGAACCACCCTGTGTTGTGTGTGAGGCTGCCAGCTTGGTATGTGATGAGTGGGGGAGAGGGCCTTGAGTCTCGCCCTGGCTTTAACCTGGCGTGAACACACACACGCTCCTGTCATTCTCCTGTGTGGTACCACCGGGTGTTAGCCAGGGCGAGCGGATGAGGGATGCTGAGTGGAAGTAGAGAAAGGGGGAAGGTAGGATCACCCGCCTGCTCCCGAGACTGCTTTAGTTGGCGTAGAATCATTTCGTAGTGAGACGTCAACTTGGAAGGCACAGGGCATTTGGCCCTCAGAAGATGAGATGGTGCTGATAACAGGAATAATTATATAGTACGTTTTCAGTTTATACAAGACTTTCACAAGCATTCTCTCATTTGCCCCAGGTTGGGGACGTTTCAGTGGGGTGAGTGGAAAGTTAAGTCCTGGGTGATCAGGGGGTCCTGAGGCGGTCCAGGAGGAAGGGGCCAGGAAGAACAAAGCATGGAACCAGTCCCACAATCCCCGCTTAGGCCAATCTGGAGACACACACAGTGCCACGTCTTTCTACAGTTGTTTCCACACATGATTATTAATGTCCGCTTGGGATGGGTTCTACCCTGCAAGAAGGAACAAACCTCTTGCAGATTTCTGAATGGCACTGTCAGCTTGGCTAAGCACTCCTTCCTTTATAAACTGTAGGGTAGTATATGCCCCGACCTCGTCACATCTTTACTGCCTCCAGTGCAATGCTTCGTTCTGTCACCAATGCTGTATTTCAGGTCCACGTGTCTGTTTTTGCCTGAGATAGCGGGACCATACACTTGATCTCTTACTGTTGAAACACAGAGATACGAGCATGACTGTGATGAATTGCCATCGTAACCACCCAGAGTCCCGTAGCATTCTGACGGCAGTAAATACAGAACCTGCTCGGTGTTCTGTGCTGTAGTCCTGATGTTCTGCCTTGAACAGTGCCTGTTCTTTGTTTTACTTGAAATTATTACTTAGGTGTTCATTTTTTCTCAGCATTTCCACATAACTGTAAGACAGGCGTAGAAAATGTACTCCTTATTTAGTTTTGTGTGAGGGCCTAGGATTTAAAGATACAAAATTACAAGAGAAATTAAATTTCAGAGGAAAATTCAACAAAACCACAAACTAATAGTCTCTTATTTTGGGGTGAAATACTGCCTAATAAAGTACACTGTCACTTATTGTGATGATTACTTAATTGCGAAAATTATAATTAATTTTCATTAATGTCTTAGAGATTCTGAGAAAGTCTCAAATTTAATATGATCTGTTTTCTCCACTCAGGGTCTGAAATTGACGTTTTGAGAAAGTCATAGATGATTTTTATATTCGAGGAACACTGGGTTTCGTTTCTGTCTTGTTTTATCAGTAGTACTGATGTCATATGGATTTTATTTAAATGATGCTTTTTGTCATTCAGCATTTATCATCACTTGTTTCTTGTGAAACCAATTCTTGGTTTAGGAAAAAAGCAAGAGGTTGAAGGACACAATACTGTTATTTATGTAGTGAGAAAATGCTCATTTCATTCAAAAACAATAAGCAAGAGCTGGACTATAGAAATAAACCTTTTTTTCTCTAAAGCAATGTTATTTGATTATTGGCCAGTACTTTTAAAATTATATATGGTAATGATAAGGTATGCTCAGATGACTTTGAATATAATTATATGTAACATTTTTGAGCAGGTAGACTATAAAATGTGCGTCCAGAGGTTGTGGAACCCTATAATGCACGATTAGTGTACAAGTCATTTTATCTGGCTAAAACTCAATTGTCTTGTAGCCCTCAAGGCATCAATTTTAGCATTATTGCTCTCAACAACAGTATATTGAATATTATGTCAGTTAGAGGAGAATAATTATCAAGGCAAGTTAGGGTGGCTGTTAGTCTTACCACATATTGACTTGGTTAGCAGCTGGCTATAGATTGTGTTACTGGGCAAATGAAGATGTACAGTAAGTTGAACTGGTGAAGCCAGGATATTAATTTAACTCTCTCTGGGCCCAAACCTACATCCCTGACATATAAACACAGCCACTTCTGGTTTCAGAAATAGTTTTGAATGTGGAAGAATAGCAGTGTCTGATCTGATTTTGAATTTTGGGATGTGGGGGGAAAGAAGAGCTGGCCGTTCAAACCTATCCTTTGCAGGCGTGTTTGAAGAGGTTATTAAAAGAGAAAGGGAGATGATTGTGGTGGCACAGATTTATTGGGGGCTAGCAATATTTTCCAAGGGTCTGTACTGTTTCTGTAAAAATTGCTTTTCACTTATATGATTATCTGTGTGATTCATAAGCTAACCAGCTGGCTAAGACTTGCACTACAGTGACTTAAGAATCCAGGTAGTATCTTAAAGGTGAAGAACCCAGTATTCTCCTGTGTACCAATCAAAGTGTTCATTCAGAAAGTACCAGAAAAGTGAAGTAAATTTTAGGCATTTTCTCACAAAACAGAAAAAAGGAGGAAATAGGCAATTTGATCCTAAAAAGCAAACTGGAACGGAACACGAGATATTTTTTTCTGCTGCTGAAGAGTTGTTCGTATTTCAAGTCTGCATCTCACAGTACGTTTATTCACAGTGAATAAAAGCAGTGTCCTGTTCTTTCCCCATTTTCCTTGTCTTTGGCCTAGGATATAAGAATACGGGTGATTATCACTGTTGAATTTAATCATTTAAAAATCAAGCGTTCACACAGTCTCTCTGCAGTTTGAACGTGTCACTGACTTGCCTGGGTTCATACGCCAGTCCATCTGTGGCGATCTCCTCCTTTGCAAATGAGTCCTGCCAGAATTCAGGGAACCGTATCAGACGCTCTGAATAATTAGCTGAGGTGTCAGCAGCCTGGTGAGAGGACGAGCAGTGATGCACATTTCAAGTCACCTGTGTCTTGAAAGAATCAGGACTAATAGAACAATCAACACTCTAGAAGAACATTTCCCAGAGTATCCTGGGTGCATTTGTCTTCCGGAGATCCGACCTGAGCATTAGGCGGACCTACACTCTGGATCCTTTTCTTAGAGCCTAGTGATAACATTAGCATAATAAAGGCTCTGAGAAGTTGGTTTCTGAGAATAGATAAGTAGCTTCCACCAACCTTACCTGCTTCATAGCCTCTTCCTGTGAAGTTCATCAGAAGTCTTCCATTCCTGAACACACTCAACTCTTCTTCAACTTAGGGTACTTGCATGTGTGGATTCTTCTACCTGGACTCCCCTTCTCGTCTCTCTGCATGGGCAATGCCTTGTCCTTTAGGTGTCCACCCACTTTTTCACGGAGACCTTTTCAGTCCAGCTTAACCCATGTAGGTCTCTTCTCATGTGGCTCTATCTCGGGATTCTGTATCCCTCAAGCTCCAATACAATTTAAAATCAATCGAGTCAACTGTTAAAATGTTTTTTTTTTCCTGGCTTCCTCACTTGGGATTGCCACAGAGGCAGGGTACTCAATAAGTACTTGTTAAATGAATGGGTAAAGAAACCTGCTTCACTTGATGTAGCTTGACATTTCACCATGGAACCCATGGAATATCTAATGACTTCAGTTGGTCCAAGGGCCCTTAGTCTTTCTTCAGGTGTCCTGGGGACCAAAGGCTGTAATAGCAGCTGGGCCATTGAGGGCAGTAAAAAGAGAGGCAGAAGCTCCCACACACACCCCCTAGCTAGTGGTCTGTGTAGAATAAGTGTTTTGTGGTATCCATGTGGTAGGAAACATCAATATTAAGCAAACACTTGGATTTAAGCAGCCCTTTGCGGAGCAAGTTCACATATGTTTCGCTCTTTGAATCCTCTTTCTTATACCACCCTCTTGTAGATATTGCCAGTGAATTAACATTTGTAGTTGTTGAAGCTCAGAGAGGTCAAGTAACTTTTCCATGATCACAGAGGCTGCGGCTTGGCACAGTGGGTGTACTGTAAGCTTCCTGAGGGTAAGAACCCCTTACCTCTTGTTTGTCACTGTAAC